CAGGGTCCCCGTGACTGAGGGTCACTGGGGCAGCCCAGCAGGTCGTCCCCATCTGAGGGAGGGTTGGCAGGATGCTCTGAGCAGGGCCTGCCAAAACAGTGGTTTCCTGGGGGAAAAGCAGCACCGTGAGCACTGCTTGCACAGAAAGCTGCCTGTGCCGGGGGCTGGGGCTGGAGATGCCGTGGGTGCATGGAAAGGGAAGGGCTGTGTTAGTCAGGGCATGGACAGCGAGACGGGCCTCTCCATGGGGTGCAGGTCTGAAAGCACTGCAGGAAATGCGGGTGCCCCCTCGCCGGGGCAGGGGTGGAGGTTAGTGATGTCCTGGCCCACAGGCTAAGGCAGCCGTGCTGTGCCACGCTTGGGGCAGTCGGCTGCACCAGGAGGTATCGGGCAGCCCCTCTTCCAGGGCTGCTGGCTGGTCCTCAACACCTGAGGACGGGGACGGGAATGGGAAGGTGTCTGCGAGGGCTTGGCGCTGGCAGAGGCTCTAGGGGCCTCCCGGTTCCAGGCATGGTTCTGGCACACGGCGCCGCTCCCCAGGGATGACAACTCCTCAGAGATCGCAGACACCTTTTATTGAACAACAAACACCACAACAAGAGACATACTACAAACTTACAGTGACCACTACACAGGCTGTGGGCCACTTTGCTCCCAAGCCCGGGGCTGTGGGCATCTCTTCTACTGTGCCGCACTGCGGCGTCCTCTGTGCAGTGCTCTCCATGGACTGCGCTCTGGCACCCGCTGCCAGACGCTACCAGGCCCCAGACACTGCCGGAGAGGAAACACCACAGAGGCACCACTTCTGGACAGCACCCACCTCCAGCCACCACCACCCCAAGCTCCCTGCCCGCCCAAGGGCTGCTTCGCCTGGGACTGCCCTGGCAGCCTGCCAGGCACGCTGCCACCACCCTCCGGGCTCACGTGCCGAGAGACATGGACCCCATCGGGGGGCTGAGTGCACCACAGGGACAGCCCTCAGCACCTCACCCAAGTGACGCTTGGTCCAGCTCTCCTCCAAGTCTGCTTGCACAGGCAGGCACCTCCACGCACGGAGCCGCTCGGCACCCCGCACCCCCCAGGGCCGCCCCTGCTGCATCCTCGCCAAACATGCGTCGCTGCCACCCGCCTCCTCTGCACGAGTACTACGACCAACAACTTCCCAACTTGGACAACGCTCGCTGCCACCACAGTCCTCCCCTATCCCCCTGACAAACCACCCACCCGTAGGA